AATTTGATATTAATGAAATAAACATTTCAACTGCATCAACTATATCGTGAAATATCAACTACATTTTAAAAATTTCAACTGCATCATCATGAAATTTTAACTGCATCATTGTGAAATTTCAACTGCATCATAAAAATCTCAACTACATAGTCGTAAAATTTCAACTTAATCATGAAAATTTCAACTGCATTATAAAAATTTTAACTGCATCGTCATAAATTTTTTTTAATTACATCATCGTGAAATTTCAACTACACCATGAAAATTTTAATTACATCGTGAAAATTTCAACTGCTTCATCGCGAAAATTTCAGCTGCACCATTGTGAAATTTCAACTGCATCATAAAAATTTCAACTGCATAAATTTTAACTGAAAATTTCATATATATATATATTTAGAGAATTTTTGCTATGATTTTTTTTAATATTCAATCAATATCTCAACAAACCGATGACCCAAATGTGTACAATTTGTTGTCTCATCACTTTCTTGTATTCCCTATTTCTTGCATTTAAAAAAAAAACAATCAACATAATATGTGCAATCAATATTGTACAGAATATCATATAATATGTGTGATGAAAATTATCGTATTCTGATATTCTCTCTTTTTGCATTTAAAAAAACAATCAATTTTTACCTATATTTTGGAAGATATCCATTATAAATAGCGGGAGTAAACACATAATGTGATATCTTGTTTTCTTTCTCCTGCTTTTATATTTCGTTTTTGTTGCAAATCAAATCACATTGTAAAAGCTTCTGACTTATAGTCTTCGAAGAATTTCATATCAGTGTTACAAGACTTTCATTTGTCTCTTTTGTATTTTTAGTTCTTCAACTCCTCTCTTTTCTCATTTCACCATAAACCAAAAATCAATAAAAAAAAGAGAAAAATGGCTAATACAAATTCAAAAAAATATAGAGAGCTAAAACATACTTTGATTGATATGTCAGCCAGGGGTATTGCTGGTGCTATGTCACATGGTAACATCACCTCTTGATGTTACCAAGATCAGGTTTCAGGTAATATGTTTTTGGTTAGTGGATTGTGTGGGTCTTGATGTTATCTATGGAGTGGATATAATTAATGAACCAATTTTCTTGTGTTAATTAAAACTAGACATTTTAATCACAGTTAAATATTAACATTAAATATAAGTTAAATGTTAGCATTATATATAAAGACACTTTTTTAGGGCAACTTCATTGGGAGGCTTTAAGAGGGTATAATAACCAAAACAATTTAAAAGTTTGAGAAAATGAGAGAAAAGATTTTCGTATGAGATACTCTAGTAGTGGTTGTCAATTTGTGATTGGTTTAAGTTTGTTTTTAGTTTAAAATTTAATTATGTAATTATACTATATTAAAACTATTATTATTATATATGTGAGATGCCCATAAAAGTATCTAAACCAATGTGGATGCCCATAAGAAACCAAAAATTTCTTTAAAATTAAAAAGTTACCATGTCATCGATTAACTTAAAAAAATTGGCTTATAAATGATCATTTTGGCAAAGACAAGTAAAATACTTTTTCCTCTATTCCATATCATCTACTATATATTTATGTAACAGAGTCTCTTTTGTCTTCTCTCCCATATAAATTATATTTTCTTGCCCCAAACTATTGATTTTCGTATCAATTTATTTTTACCATATGACTTAAAATTATGTTATAAACAAACAATAATGAGATTTAATATTCACTTGGAAAACGGTCATTGGTTTGCTTCTCTATATATTAACGAAAAGGATTCTGATTGTACTTGTCCGACTTATGAACCAACATTAATTATGAGACATTATAATATACTAGGTATTTATCCGTGCTACGCTGCAGAATATTTTTCTAAATTTTGTATATATTTTTAATATAACAAAACTATTTTGATTATGTAAATAAGTATTATATTTTTTATTAGCTTAAGTTATGTATTTATATTTTTTAATTTGAATAAACATTGTATATCTTTATTTTTTAAATTATAATTTGCTATTAAATTGTTTAGCTAACTAATTATTTATATATGTAAGAATAAAACAATATAATTTTTAGACCTTCATGCTAATGGCAAATATAATCTATTTTTTCCAATAAATTGCTACTTGATCGTCCTTTATAATTATATAAAGCAAAATACCATTTTTAAAAAAGATTTATTAATTAATATGATTATGTTGAATTATAAAATTTATTTATTTATCAAATATTTATTATAAACATATGTTTCTAAAACTACCAAACTATAATCAATAACATTCATATCAAAACTATTGCTATTGCTTTAGAACTAAATATAAAATTTTGTTTGAACTGTTGAAATATTTAGTTGAAGTTAAATAATTAAATTTTGGTTACTGTAAACATATTTTAACTTGGAAATTTAGCACAGAGAAATTTCATCTTCTTACAAAAATCGAGAAAACGCATTTTCTATCAAAACTAAAAAACTTCATTTTCTCATGAAACTGAGAAAGCGCATATTCCCGCCAAAACCAAAAAATTCATTTTCTCGTCAAATCTAAAACCTAAAATTTCATTTTTCCGCGACAACCTGTGTTTTCTCATCAAAACTGAAAAATCACATTTTTTCACTAAAACCAAAACATCTTATCTTCCTACAAAAACCTGAAAATCGTATTTTCCTGTCAAAACCGAGAATATATTTTCCTGCAAAAACCGAGATATCTTCTATTCCCACCAAAACCAATAATTCATTTTCTCGTCAAACCAAGAATCACGCTTCCTACCAAAACAATAAACTATAATTTCCCGCAAAAATCAAAAAGTGCATTATCTCTTGAGAAATTATGTTTTCCCGTGAAATCTAAGTAATTGCATTTTTCTGCAAAAACAAAACAAAATCACATTATTCATCAAAAACTGAAAAATTGCATTTCCTATCTAAACCAAGAAATTGCTTATTCCCGCCAAAATCGAAAAATTTTCTTTTCCCGTCAAACCGAGAAATTGCATTTCCCGCCAAAATCATCAAATTCCAATTTTTCGCGAAAACTAATAAATCACATTTTCAAGTGAAAACCAAGAAATCGCATTATTTGTCAAAAGCCAAAATTTGCATTTCCTATTAAAACTGAGAAATCGCATTTTTGTCAAAATTGAAAAATTACATTTCTCATCAAAACCGAGCATTTTTCCGTCAAAACTAAGATATTTTATTTTCCCATCAAAATCATTTTTTTTTGTTTTCTCACCAAAACCAAAAATTCACATTTTCTTGCCAAATCCGAGAATTCATTTTTTTTTGCCATAACCGAGAAATTATGTTTTGCTATCAAAACTGAAAATCACATTTTTCTACTGAAACCAAGAAATCCCCTATTTCCGGCAAAACAGAGAAATTCCCTATTCTCGCCATAGCCAAGAAAAATTGTTTTCTCGCATGTTTTCCTAACAAAACTGAAAAATTGTATTTTTCCGCCAAAATCGTTAAATTGTATTTTTCAGCAAAAACTGTGAAATTGTATTTTCATACGAAAACCAAGAAATCGCATTATCCATTAAAAAACAGAAAATTGAGTTGCCAATCGAAAACAAAGATTTATTTTTTTATTTGTTGTTATTTATTATTTGGGTTTGAGTTTGGCAAAAAATAAAATAAATATTTTTTTATTTATTGTTATTAATTATTTGGGTTTGAGTTTGGTAAAAAAAAAAAAATTAATAGAAAATATATTTGGGTTTTTAATAGATTTAAATTTAAAAATTAAAATAAGTAGGTGAGTTGTATTAATAAAATATTTTGATTAGTGAATATTTTTGCTGAGGTGTCATACTCAAAAAGCTCTAAAATGCTGATGTGTCATCTTTAGGAGAGACATTGATGTTATTGTTGTATTGATTCAAACTGACAATAGAATTATTTAAGAGCAAAAGGGATTGAAAATGGCAACGAATCTTATTTTTTTTTAAGAGAAAATGGTTCATAATCTATTAACTATCTTAGTTTATAGGTTCAATTGGAGCCAACTTTTTCATGGGATCTTAATCAAAATAATTGTTCAACAAAGCCCAAATATGCGAACAGTCTTCAGCCTATGCCACACCAAAGCGTTAACGAGTTCCTCATCTCGTTGCGCATGAGATGATTTTGGTGGACTGAGATCTTTTTTTCAAACTTTTACATAAGGTTGTTATTTGTTACAGCCTTTACGAAGGCAGTGGTTACAGAAGGTTGTTGCAATGTAAAACCTAATGTTTTCTAATTAAAAGTCTGTGATAAGAATATTCCGTATAAGAGGATCTTCATATTGCAAATGATTTAATATTCGCAATTATTTTTTTTACAATACTTTGTTACAAATTTTTAATTAGAAAGCGTTAAAACTTTCTAAGTAAAACTTCTTGATAAACAATTTAAAAAAGATAAATAAACAAAACGAATAATTGTAGAAAACAAAATTGAGCAAAATATAAGTATAAACGAAGCAAATTGTAAGCATAAAGATACCAAGTTAGATTCTGCCTTTTTTTTTATTCCTACTTATATTTTATCTCACACCCACTAACTGAGTATAACTGTCACTTCAGGTCGAAGGTCTTCAACGGGATCCAAAGTATGGAACACGAGTACATATTCTACCAAAACATATTCTACACTCTAGGCAAGAATGCATGATTTGAGAGTTGGAACGGCCTTTATAAAAGCATTGTTACATCAACGATCAAAGCAGCACATGCTGCCGCCGTAACCTTCTTCATATATGAACTTGTGTCCAATGTGATAAAGAACACCGACAAAGCCAGAGATTAAAGAGCTCCAACCTGTTGTTGAGTATTTGAACTTGTAAATAGCAAATCTGATTTCAGATTCAGTACTTGTTTAGTTTATGATCATTAATTTCCTTATTTTATGTTAGTTTATTAACTTGCCATTAAGAAGAATTTTAGTTTTAAGTTTAATTTATTATATGAAGAGATTCTCAAACGCTATCTTCTTGATACTACAAAAATAATCATATGTTATGATGCCTTTAATTTGGTTATCCGTATTAGGCTTCACATGGAAGAACACAATGCCCATGATGTCCTATTAAACTTAAACAAAACAGAGCCAGAAGAATCTACATTGATCTGTACATATTTTTTTATCGAGTGGTCAAAAGAACATCAACTGAAATAAATTTAAAACCATAAAATCTACGAAAACGAAAGGTCTCCCTAGGTACAACTCACACAAAATTGGGCCTATGAATCATTTCTAATTTCACAAGAACGAAAGAAGAAGGAAAAAAACAGCTAATTTTCAACACGATGATTCCAAAGGAGGAATATCAAACCCTCCTCCTCTTGAGCATGAGGTCCAAGTTTTCTTGAGAGCTTTGGTTCAAGTTTCATCAATCTTTTCCATGAGATGATGCATAGTCTTTCATTCTTTGTTTCAGATGCTGCAAGAGGTAATCAACATTTCATTGTTATAACAGAACAGCTTAAAGTAAATTTGCAGAGAAAGATTAAAAACTTAAAACGGGGAGCTTTATAACCCACCTTCAACTCTTCGTGGAGAACAAGAAATACTTTCTTCAAACGTTTGTGCCTCTGCAGATTAAGATATATAAGGAAGTCATCATCAAGTAATAATGTGCAAGTTAAATATAAAAAGTTTTAGTAGGAGTCAACAGCAAATCTGGCCATAAAAGCTCGCATGATTGGATCAGTAAATAAAATGCACATAAGCTGAGAGATTCCCTCTCACTTCTTGTCACTCTCCTATTCATACGCTTTATTTATTTAGCCTTGACTAGAATTAAAGCTACCCTTGCTTGTACATGGAGCTATTTTTTGCCCCACTTTAACCCATTACATAATGCGATAGAATTCAGATCCTCATGTCTTTCATAATTTCACTCTATATCTAAATTTAGATAATTAAGATGGGTATTCATCTGATGCCTAGAAAAATTCAGTAGATTAGTTGAGTTCTATCTTCAAGGATATATTAAAAAAAAGTTCTACATAAGAAATCGATTAATATGTAAAAAATGATAGAATATTACCTCCCCATTTTTGCAATAAGATTCCTTCAAGTGCTCCACAACTTTGTTATATCTCTCCATGTCCCTACCTTTTGCAAACTTAAGGTCTTCCCCCAACTTGTGAAAGTCATTTCTGCGAATAAATGGAAATATATATTTCAAGAAAGCTGATAAACTAGAGTAACACAAATGATCTAAGATATACGAACAAAGAGTCCATCTAGCTACCTGTAGCCCTCTAATATCTTGTTAATGGAGTAGTAACTATCATACTTATCCAAATATTCCTGCATATAGGCTTTATACCTGAAAACAGAAAAGCATTAGTCAATCTATTCGATACATAAATACTAAGCAATCAGATTTCCAAACATTATAGTTTCAGTTTACTCACTGCAAATGATCACCAATTGGTCCCTTGAGCTCAGGAGAAGCTTTCTCGTATTTTAAATAAGTAGAGTCTTCTTTATCAAAAGATGTCATTTGTTTCTCACGGACAACAACACTGTCACCTGGTATTGAAGTTGCGTCTTTGTGTCCATTGATCGACTTTGCAATTTTGTCAGACGCATGTCTTTTACTCTCCCTTGATGAGCGGGATGTGGATGCTCGCTTGCCATGCTTTGTAGCGGGCGTTTTTTTGTTCGTCTCTCCATAACCTTCCACACTGCTTCCTACTCTTGCTCTACTGTCTTTTTGTCTTGATTTAAAAGCTGCATTCTCCTGTGAGCCGATTTCAGTATCTGTGCCCGTATGGTTCTGCCCATGTGACTGCAAAGCCCACTTTTGAGATCTTTCTGAATCTTCAACAACGTGATCGGGCAATTCTTTGATACCATTGCTGGCATGTGAGGGAGCTGGCTTTTTGGAGTCAGATTTTTTAGACCTTCGTTTATCTGAGTCAACAGCCAATTTCTCTGAAGTGCTTAGTTTTAATGACTGCCTAGAAGAAGTTCTCTCTTCGAGTTGCTTCAATGCTGTATCTTCCCCCATTGGCCCAGGGAGTTCACCCAATTCCAGGTCTGAAACCTGTTTTAGGAGCACAGATCCATTTCCCTTAGGTAATTTAGTCAAATATGTTCTCTGGGTATCCAAGGGAGAAGAACCTATGCTCAAGCCTGAAACATTCTTGGCATCCTTGTCGCTTCCATCCAGTTCACCGTGTTTTTTATTGGATGTATCAGAATGTCGATTGGCTGACTCACCATCTTTTCTATTCCTTGGAAACTTATTTTTCAAATGAACATCATCCCTTTGATTGTCCCTGAAGGCCTTACCTGACTGACTAGAAAGCATTTCATGCGCAAAATGGTCCCCTTCGTCAGACTTACGAACATTCAAGGCATCAGACTGTTTATCTGGTTTACCTGTACTGTCAACATGCTTCATTTGACCATGTCGATTGGACTTTTCACCAAATGGCTTCTGAAGCCCTCTAAGTGGATCTATCGTTTGACTAGCCGAAGCGTTGAGATGTTCTGCATCATACTTGCGCTCTGAACGCTGTGAATCTTTACCTATGGCAGGATATTGATCGAAGCTCTGGGATTTTCTATTTTTCACCTGAGCTGATTTCTGACTGTAGTGCTCCAACTCAGGGGCTTTTTGGTTCTGGTGTTTGGCCGGCCTTTCAGAGATGTCAGGTTGGTCATCTTTTAAGTTACTCTTCGTTGTATTCTCTGTGTCATCAAACAACTGTCCAATAAAATTTTCGCGCTCTCGTAGATTGTCGTGACCCGGAGCAAAATTTTCCTGCCCTGAAATGCCAACTTCTTCATTTACAGTTGTTGCTTCCATTTTCCAGTTATTATCAGAGATTCTTTTTCTCTGATCTTCAGAACCATGATCCTCATCTGAACTGTTCCCCTCGACATCTACAGTATCAGACCCATGACCATCGATGTCAACTGCATCAGAATCATGGCCGTCAATGTCGACAGCATCAGAATCATGACCCTCGATGTCAACAGCATTAGAACCATGACCTGGGAGATCAATAGCATCCCGTTCAGCTGGCTGTATTATCTGTTGAGGCCCTCTGTCCCCATCGCTCATGATATCCACATCCTCATCAGAACCGTCCTTACTGTTAGAAGAAGCCTCGCTATCACTGCTGCTCCCGCTGTCACTTCCTTTACTGTGGCTCCCACTATCACTCCCACTATCACTGTTATCACTACCACTGTCACTATCACTAGAGCTACGACCCTGACCTTCTCTCTCTGGTCGCTTTTCCTCATGAATAATACCAGGTGAATGATAGTCAGTGTCAACATTTTCTTGCGTGCTCAAATGCTCTGCTGAATGCACAAGCAAACAGTCTTGTGGACCCTCTCCGTTCCGCTCCCACACAGAAACTTTCTCCATGTTGCTGCCTCCTGGAACAGGTAACTGATCGCGACTGCATTCAGTGATTGGCAGCAATCGCTGGTGTTCAGGTGAGCTGAAAAGTAAAAGTTGTCTAAGACCAGATATGGAAGTACAGGGGAAGAAAGCATAAGTAGAACTATAGAACATGCATATGTTAAATAGTTTATAGTCGCAAGTTCATTTTACACTAGATTGGATAATAAAAACTTTTCAGGTAGAGTTTATTCTACACTAAACAAGCAACGTTGCTTAATAGATTTATCCTCATGCACCTACCTGATGTTATAGTTTATGCATTATTTATGCGAATATGCCGATCCTATTATGCCGACCCTATTTCCTTAGGTCGTCATATTCTGCAATGAAAATTCAAAACTATCATTTAGGGTCTGCGTACCTTCGGCTATCAGGAGGTTTTTTATAGCTTTCCAACTCTGCCTCTGGTTTCAAGAAATACCTTGGAGCTTGGAAATTTGCAATCTGGCTATCAACAATAATTAGGGACACAGAAATACATATTGCACTTCATAAAACCACACCGAATTTTTTTTTCACGACTTACTTTTTTCAAAATTGGTTCAATCTTCTTTGCTGCATTAGGTATTCTTCTATCTCCAAAAGCTTTCTCTAATGCCTAGAGAGAAATGGAGAGGGTGGCGTTAATTGTGATGGAACACATATTAGATATGAAAAAAGCCATATATCTTGCGTTTCGTTCAGTATTACCTTCAAGCTCATTGGAGCCTCTGTTAGGAGATCAACCAGCAGTGTCTCCAAATCAATTTCTTTATTAACATTGGTTGCTTGACGCCCATATGTGTCCCTTAACGCACTAGTTTCCCAGGTTGACGGATCTTTTTCGTTCTCCCTGCCCTTTGTGTGGACTGGCGTGACATTCTCGTTAGCTGCATGAGTTTTAGCAACACTCCCACTCCCATATGAAGGGGACAGACCCGGTGAAGCCGATAGCCTACTTTTCACAGCAGGAGTTGAAGCCCCTGGTCTGAAAGAAGACTTGGAACCTCCGATTGGAACTGTTACAGTAAACCACAAGTGCATATTATTATTATTTTTAAAACAGCACTCGAGAGTCTTTGAAACACTAATGTGTTACCACAGGCTGCAAAAGTTTGATTCTTTTTTACCTGGAGGTGGATCAATTTTCCGCTTCTTAGGCGGAGGTTCCTTCTTCTTATTTGACATTCTCCATGGACTAGCTGAAAGCACAGGGAAGATGTAACAATAGTACTGCTTATACCCATATATGATTACATACTAGATATGTAAAGGTTTTGAACCCAAGAGAGTAAAATTCAGAGTCATGGTTTTCAGTTTCAAACAAGAATTTCTTTAACCACTAAGTTTGAAAGGGAAAGAGAAAATGTGGGAGGTACAAACAAGGTTTAACGATAATCTCATGTTCGTATGGACGCCAGATAATAGAACGAAAAGGTTACCTTCAGCACGAGCTAACTGCTTTGTTAATGATGGATTCCCAGGTTCTAAAACGATTGCCCTGACATAACCAAAAATGTAAGGGTTTTTCAGTCATAACCACTTGATGCGACCAAATCAAAGATAGACACACAAGCATGCAATTTGTTACACACAGTGAGAAACATTCTCCAAGTCACAAAAACAGCTCAAAGTATCCAACATCAGTGAAAGTAGAGTATGTCATTCACAGTAGCCTAACTGCAATAAGATGAACAATGCGTATACTGATACTTTTCTCACAGATCCACCAAAGATTATATGTTCTAACCAAGACTAATGAGAAGGCTACTTACCGATAAAAAACCGCAAAACCAGAAAAAAAAACTAAGAGAGCAAACACCTTTGCAGCTAATGGATAGACTATGCTTTAAAAAAAATTATAGATACTGAGATGCAAGTATGCAACCAAACTGTTTGGCCAGAAATTGTACTTGCGTGATTTGGTTCTCTGTTCAGCTTCAACTGAGCGCATCTTCATATGGCTTGTGGTTGACTCGTCTAGAGTTCGCTGGACGTTAAGTTTTCGCCAAGCACATCCAGCCTCAATCAGCACTCCATTTCCATCTTCACCACTTTCGTGTTCTTCATATATGTCACATAAATCACCACGCTCCCTAGACCAGGTAAATTTGAACTCTTTTCCACCGACATCAATGATCTGTTCAAACCAAGTTAAAAAAACAGCTGGACAGTGTCAAGATTTATATGACAAAAAAAGCATTTAAGAGGGGTGAATATATCCAACTAAAAACCACTACAAGCAAAACCACAGCTATACAAAGAAAATATGTTGCCAGTAGAATAAGTGACCATAAAAGCAGCACTTCAGTAAGTAAACCAACATACTATACAATACATGCTCAACCAATAAGCAAGTCAAAGTCTACCCAGAATCAACGAAGGTAGAGGGTCTTAACCTTTATTAATGTATCCAAATAGCAATGGACTATTCCCCAAAAGTCTATACAACAGAAATTCTTCTTCACGGCCATAGTCTAGCAAGTGAAAAAACGGCTTTCCACAGGAACAGATGCCAGAAACTATTTGCTTATGCAGAATAAACCAGCTTTTTGACCAATATTACACTACCATCTACTTTCTATAGAAGCTAGTTTCACCAATTTCACTAATTTAGGGAACCCTGAATGTAACGAATTATCATAATGTTCAATGGCGTAGAAGTATAGACTACCAAAGCAAGCAAATTCAAGATTCACTGAATGAAAGAGTGCAACTAGCTGAAGCAATTCAACTCCAAATATTGAAATCCCCCTTCTCTGAATTTGAAAAAATTAGAAGAAACTCACATTCCCAGTGCTATTGTTAGGAAACGCATCGAACTTGATCTTGGCGGCTCCACCCTGTGCCTCCACCCGCTTGATCTCCTCCACCAAGTCAGGAGCCAACCGTATGATCATTCCAAAAGCAGAGGGACTCTCCCTCGGAACGAGGCTAAAGTTTTCCTCAACCGTACGAGACGACGAGGTCGTCGCAGCCGCTGCCTTGACGCTAGTAGAATTCCGCTGTCGTGGACCGCCGGCGGAGGAGCCACCACCTCCCGAGGACATCCTCCCGACGGGAGAGGGGTGCCGGTTCGTAGGAGGAGGGAACGAATTGCGGTTGCGTGCCGGTCCACCGCCACCGCCGCCTCCTCCACCCCTACCGCGACCGAGTTTCGACGATCCTCCGTACATCCTCCGGTCAATTGCGCCGTCGTCACTACAATATCCTCACAACCATGTATTCGCGTATATGTGTATGTATAGATTTAACTGATTGAGACGCGCGAGCGAAGAGAGAAAGAATGAGAGAGAGAGACGATGATTAGAAGAGAGAGAGAGAGGGACCCAAAGGGGCTTCGGTTCTTCTCCTCTTCTCTTCTTCTTCCTCTATTTTTTTTTCCTATTTTTTTATTTTCTGTTTGTAAAACGGCTCCGTTTTGGGGTTTTAGGTCTGATGTCTTTCTGAAGCAAGCGGTGAATAAACCGACCCGACCCGCTTCCCCCCGAGCCCACCCGGACCCGACCGTAAAGGGCGGCTGATGATGATATATTAAAGACAACCGAAGTTGAACAGATTGAAAAAACAAATTCCGTTGGCCTTCTCTTGAAGAAAGAAATCAATCTCGCTCTCTTTCGGCATCAAACATGTTAACAGGTGAATCTTCTTCGAGTTTTCTTCGTTTTGTAAGCTTAATCGATGTGTATATGTGCTCTCCTTTTTTACACTGATTCCGCTTTCGTTGATCGACTGCTAATATAAAAATCGCTGCTTTCTGCATTTTGTAATTTTGTAATTTGAGAAGTTCCCTTGTAATCCGATCTTGTCTTCTTCTCCGTGAGAAAAAAATGGGCACTAGAGATTTTAGAGAGTAATAGTGAAGCTTATGCAGTTTAGAGTTTAATGGAGTCACTGTGACCCTTCACTTTTCAAGTCTCTGTGTTAGATATTCTCTTTTCTTATAGTATGTTTAGATGGAGGTGATGATATCTTCATTGCCATGTTATATAAGTATTTTATAGAGTGAAAAACAGCCATAATACTATTGGCCCATCAAAGCTAATTCAATAAATTTCCGAGGCATACAGAATCAGTCTCTTGAGCTAAATGTACACAGTGATGATGACAGATGGAAAGATCCACTAAGATGAATTTTGTTTTTGCCCTCCTTTTAGATTTAGGATATGATAAACAATTTGAAGGTTCTGTTTTCTCTCTCTACTGAAGGAAATGTGGCCAGATTTATATATCTGCTGTTGTATTTCGATTTGTGACTCTGTATCTTCCTTGATATGATATGTTAACGTCAACCTAAGTCTGGAGTTGACTGGTGTAACTATGCTGTGGAATTGTGTTTTAATTATTTGCAGTAAGCGTGAAGTGGCAGAAGAAGGTGTTTAAAAGCATCGAGATTGATACTAGCCAACCTCCTTATGTGTTCAAGGCTCAGTTGTATGAATTGAGCGGAGTGCCACCAGAACGGCAAAAGATTATGGTCAAGGGTGGACTTTTGAAGGTAACTGGATCCACGTCTCTTAAACTTTACAAATGTGTTCGTGATGATTTACAATACTATTTTTCTTTCGATTGATGCAGGATGATGCAGATTGGTCCACAATGCGACTGAAAAATGTAAACACTCGCTTGCGTTCATTGATTTGGCACTGTACTCTCCCTGAATTTGATTACGGATTTATACTCTTTTGAAATGCGTGTTTATTAAACATTTCATGTTACTTCGATCTAGGGTCAAAAATTGATGATGATGGGAAGTGCGGATGAAGTAGTGAAGGCTCCTGAGAAAGGTCCTGTTTTTATGGAGGATCTCCCTGAAGAAGAGCAAGACGCTAATCTGGTTATATTTTTCTTCTGAATTTTAGGAGCATTACGTTTCCTGTGGTTTGTTAGTTTCTGATAAGTTGTAGCTTGGATAGTGCACTTATTGGTGGCTTGTTTTCTTATCTCTTAGCATTTTTTGGCTTCATATGGACTAACGAACATTACAAAATTGGTTTCAGGGTTACAGTGCTGGCCTAGTCAATCTTGGCCACACCTGTTACATGAACTCCACGATGCAGTGTTTAAAATCTGTCCCGGAGTTGAACTCTGAATTATCCAAGTCAGTCTTATCTCTTTTTGTTTTCTGTTCTAAGTAAAAAAAAAAATCAATATACATTATCTCACTTATGTTGTGCATTGCCGCTATCCCATGTAACCAAAATCTGATTCTTGATCTTTTCTCACTAGTTACCAATCTGCTCGAACCAAGGATGTGGATCAGACTCCTGACATGCTCACAGTTGCAACCAGTGAGCTATTTAGTGAGCTTGATAAAAGTGTCAAGGCTGTTGCACCTATGCCGTTCTGGATGGTTAGTCTATGTTCATTTTATGCTTCACAATATATGCTACTTTTAATTCTTGTTAGTATTTTAAAATCAGTTGAGGAAATTTTTGCATTCAAATTAACTTGGCATCTTAGTTGCCATTACAAAAGGGAAGTTGTGGGTTTCAGTGGAAACTTGGGATCAACTTCAATTATGATCAATATGCATGTCGTTGGATTGTATGGAAGCCTCTCAGTTTCCAGAGTTCTTGTCATAAGTTTCTGAATTTCTCGTCATAAGGTTTTGAAGTTTCTAGCTTTCTCTCATACCAATATTTGGTCTTGATGCAGGAGTTGAAAAAAAAGTATCCTCAGTTTGCCCAGTTGCATAACGGAAATTACATGCAACAGGTTTGTTGATTATTGCCAACCCGGTTGCATTGTGGTTTTAACCTTCTAGTTTGTGAACCCAGAAACTTTCTAAATGTGTAACAGGATGCTGAAGAATGTTGGACACAGATGTTGGACACTCTTTCCCAGTCCTTAAAAGCACCATCGCCTAGCGAAGATCCTGATGCTGTGAAGGCCCTTTTTGGTCTCAACCTTCGGAGCAGGTCACAACACAAATGTCCCATTCAAATTGCTCTCTTGTATGCTGATTTGTTAAAAGATCTTTCCTTCTTGATTTTCTGGTCTCGTTGATCTGTAAACATCCATGCCTTTACTTACAGGGTAGTCAAATTGATATGGTCAAAATTGTTCAACATTTTTGTTGCAATTGTCATAGTGCATCCGTGTGTGTCTCTGCATGGTGTATGCTGTATGCGTGTTTGTATGTTGTCTAGGCCTGCCCGACAAGAAATGATTTGACTTTTGAACTTCTGTACATGTTCATTCAAGACTATAGCTATGAAATCCTGACCTGTGTTTTTCTTTGTTTCCTGCGTAAAAGAAATGTTGTATGTTTATTAAACAAGCTGTTCTGTTGCTGTAGGTTGCATTGCCAAGAAAGTAGCGAAGAAAGTTCAGAGACAGAATCTGTCTATTCTCTAAAATGTCATATATCACATGAGGTCAACCACTTGCACGAAGGATTAAAACATGTAAGTAATGTTATCAATTCACTGAAAACTTTGTTTCGGTTTATTATGAGACTGTATCATGATTATGTGGGAGATCGTCTAACTTCTAACTCAAAAATATGACTGTATCTGCTTTATCTTTTCTCTGTGAGAAAATGAAGGCCCAAACTTGTGGTCCATTACCACATATTCAAATTTATTATTACTGTTTTACCATCCAACCTTGTATGTTGTCACTGTCGTTCATGTGGCGTTGTATCTCTGACAGTTCATATGATAAAGAGTTCCAGTTCGTCTGGCTTACTGTAGGGACTGAGAGGAGAGCTTGAAAAAACATCTCCTGCTCTCGGTCGTACTGCAGTTTACATTAAGGAGTCTCTTATAGATTCCTTGCCAAGGTAATTAGTCTTTGCTTATTATTTGTGCCGTGTTCTGCACTACTTGGTTCCCTTCAATTCTTTTTTGACAGGCTTTATAACCAACATCTTGCAGAGGAAAATCTTAGACTTAATGCTACTTATAGTCGTTTTTCCTCTGACAAGAAGTTTCTTAAACTCGTCTTCTAAATGATCTTGAAGGTACTTGACTGTTCAGTTTGTGAGATTCTTCTGGAAAAGAGAGAGTAATGAGAAAGCAAAAATTCTCCGGGTATAGAAGCGTTCTGTTTTGTATTTTAAAGAGAACTTGGATGCACAACACTATTATGATACGTCTCTTGGTTTTTGATCTTTGAAGAAAGTGGATTATCCGCTGGAGTTGGATATATTTGACCTTTGTTCTGAGGATCTTCGAAAGAAATTGGAAGCTCCTCGCCAGGTATTACACTGCCATCTTTTTCGTGGTCGTGGCTAACCAAATCAACTGACAAGCTGTGTCTTTCAGAAACTGAGAGACATCGAAGGTCAAAAGCTTGGTCTATAACCCAGTGCAAAGAGCAGCTCGAAGGGTGACGATGTGAAAATGACTGATGCTGAGGTACAAAACTTTTATTTATCTATTAACCCTGCGCTCAATACGATTCTCTAAGATCTATGTCTCTTATCATTTCTCTGCAGGGATCGTCAAGCGGAAGTGGCGAATCATCCACAGGCGACCAACAAGGAGGTATTTTCTCAACGAACCCACTTCTCAACATCTTTCTTGTCTGGCCTAGAATGATCTATATGTTTGCGTTCAAACTTTGGTTATATTTAATGAGCAAAGTCACCTGTGAGTAATTGAAATAATGGAGCAACTTTATAGAATAGTAGAGAGATGGCTACCTTGCAAGTGAAGTCCTAATCAATAGTAGTAACCACAAGAAGGTGGATATATGCTTAAGTAGAGTAGATGTTTATGTCTTCTTACTTTATCAGGTGCTTTATCTCACATGACCGGAATCTATGACCTGGTCTCGTTGGTTACCCACAAAGGCAGGAGCGCAGACTCTGGGCATTATGTTGCATGGGTCAAGCAAGAGAGTGGTCAGTTCCATTAAAACACACACGCACAAAAAGACTTAATTACACATCTGTGACATTTAGAACTTGAGAGCACCAATAACACATGTTTTACAGGCAAATGGGTTCAATATGCCGACGAAAACATGAGCCTTCAACATGAAGAGGATATCACTAAACTCTCTGGAGGAGGTGATTGGCATATGGCATACATCATAATGTACAAGGCTCGTCTCGTCTCCATGTAATCTCTTTTCTTGATTTCACTTCTTGAAACATTATATTGTTTTGTTATCATTACAATGTTATAAGACCAGAAATCTTAAAAACGTGTATGTGTTTTTTTCAAGATTTTCTCTAGAGGTCTTGATATCGTGAATCCACCAATAAAAATATCCTATTAAGTTTATTCCAAAGAGATAACAACAATAATAAGAATAAATTGGATTGTTGATAGAGATGTCACATGTAGAACAGTGAGATGAATAGTACTCGTTGCACTTGTAGTAATTTTATCAGTACAATAAGATATTCAAACTGACATCTATTTTGTGGGTCAATCACTGATCAAGGTCAAGAAAGAACAACTAGATAAAGATTTTCTTTTTACATTTGAAGTCTTATATAAAATGTCAAAACTAATTTATCTTCGTTAATTTTCTCATTAGCAAACACAAAATATCAACCCAAAAAAAAAAAAAAATTGTACAATAGGGAAACATGAAATAAGCAAAACCAGCCCCCACAAGACATGTGGAAATGGTTATGTAATAAGTAATAAGAGTGGACCATTACCAAAACAGTCATCAGAATTATGAAACAGTGAGCCCATCACAAGAGGAATTTCAGAAACGATAGCTTAACACATTTAGTTAAACACTGTCAATTCAACTCTTGATTCTTCATTTCAATCTTTTGCCCTAATTAGTCCCTAAGAAGTGGACCATTATTAAAATTCGGTATCTTAGCGCTATCTAGTATCTATAGCCACATGGACCACCATTTAATTTGCCAGCCCTTTTCATTTTGACTTTTTTTTTTTATAATTATTATAATTATTCGTTTTTTTTCATTAAAATAATCTCTATTGAAAACTTTGTTTCATGGTATGGGTAGAACCATCTACATCTTTATTCAATACATATGCACTAGATTAGTATTTGGTCTCTTTTATATCCATTTACATTAAATACATATATATATATATGTTTGAAAATATATAATTTGACTTTTCTAATTCGACAAATAATATTCTGTCATCATAAATTTTTATGTTAAAAAAATTAATAACTACTCTTAATCTATGAGTGTGATTGGACGTCTAAAACCTAACTAATCAGCACCTAGATATTTACTCTTAAGAGTTTCAATGTTTGATTGGATGGTCTGCAAAAACATGCCTTGGTGCATTTGATCATAGAGTTTGATTGGACATTGCATGCAATCACGCCTGTGATGCATTCCATTCACAACAGTATTAGTAAAACAAAAAAAAATTGTAAACTCAAATTTATCAAGGAAAAAAAAAAGGTAAAAGAAACGAAAAATAAATATCATAAAAAATGCAAGTTGTTGTTCTTTGTCTCCCCGGTTTAATACAAAATATCTCAAATCAGAAGAGCAAATTTTTGTAACCTCATTGGATCTCTCGTATAATCTATCTATCTTCCCATTTCCAGAACAATTTTATCGAACCACTAAAATCCAAAGCTTGATGTATGTTAAGGTAAAATAATTCATTTTTATAGATATGAATAAGAGAATGTTGCATGGCATAGTTGGCAATAACACATTTTGAGAAGTTAAACATATTAGTAATAAAATGTTAAATGTAAGAACTGCATAATCTTGTAGAATGTCGGTGTTACTTTAATCGGGTGTGAAACAACAGTCGTGCGAACAACTTCAACTAATTGCTATAAGCTTTGTCAAAAACAATAACATAGTGTCTTAGTTACTCAAGTTCGAATCCAATGTGTTCTATAAATAAGGAACACTCTTATTTTATGGATCAGTTAATTGCATCTATGATCAGCATTGTATTTTTCTAGATTTTCTCGATTCAAATTTGTGAATGTCATTCCATTGTTTACCGACTTTAATGATTAAAACAAACATGTAACTGTAACAAAACATTGTTCCAAGACTAAATAAAGATCAACGAATACAAAATAGCATAAGTACTTAAAGAATAAAATATTGCGGAGAAACTATTTTTTTTTCCAATTTTCCATTTATTTTAACGATAACTTAAATAGTATCAATTTGTTTTTATCTTAACGACTTATTCTTTTGTCGCCATTGTCTAAAATCTAAATAAACGATATATAAAACTTTTCACTATAACATTGTATGACATAATAATAAACGCCATTTCGAACCCCAAAAATCGGGCGACTACTAGTAGGGAGTCAATATCATGGTTCTAGAAATTAACTTAGGCTCTTCAAAAGTAATAATAATACATAAACTTTTTTTTTGGGCAATTGTAATAATAATACATAACTAAAATACGAATAATCACATGCCGTAAGAATGTTTGTTGATCTATGTCGGTTCATGCACAATTATTTATTATTCTAATATTCGCTTATACGAAGCTATTCTGCGCATATTTTAAAGGGTTTCCATTTAAAATATAGTTTTCAAACTTACTTATCATATTAACTAATGACATAGGGAATGTTATAAAATCGTCGGCGATATACCTCACGGTTCAGCATATAATAATGTGGCAAAAATTCATAAGCCACCCCACACACACGTCATGAATTTTGTGGATGATGAAATACGTAAATAATAGTAGTCATTTTCTATAATATTTTGAAAATTAGAGAATCTTAAAATCAGATGGCACAAAATAAACTGATAAATCCTCCTTCTATTACATAAGATTAAAATTTTAACAAACCGATTATATAAATAAACAAGAAAAAAAGGGAGTAGTAGTAGGAGGAATATATTACCACCAAAATGACATAACATCGAAACTGTTCATTGTCTACGTGATGACTCAAGTCACCTAAAATCAGTTTTTGCAACTTCATATAATTTACCAAAACACCCCTCTCTTTTCTTCTTCTTCAGTTTTTCTCCACTCTGTTCATAGCCAGATCGGTCCAGGGGTTACCTCCGTTATTACCCGTTTCGCTCCTCCTCAAACCCATACCCAAACCCATACCCGGATCCCAACCCGACCCGTCTAGAATGATCCCACCGAGACCCAGCTGCATATTCGAAGCCAACAACGAGCTGAAACTCCCAGCACCACCCATCTCCATACCTTTCACGTCTTGGTCTCCGATCGGAAACCCGTACAGCATCCGGGTCGGATCCGTATCCGGGTTAGTCCCGTTCTTGGAATTAGGATCCGGATCCGGGTTCTTAGTCTTCTTGTGGGAGTTTGCAGGGGAAGGAGAAGAAGTAGAAGAGGAAGTGGATCGTTTTGCGTTCTTGCGAGAACCGCCACCGACGGGGACGTTACGGAGAGCGCCGCCTTTGGTCCAGTAACGACGGCAGCTCTTGCAAAAGTGACGGGGCTGTGACAGATTGTAGTTGTTGTAGTAACAGAATTTGGTGTTTGGTGAGTCACAGCGAGGGCACTTTAGCTGCTCTTGCTCCGGAAATTGCGGTTGTTGTTGCTGCTGTTGTTGTTTCGCCATCATCGACTGATAATAAGCTGCTGGATCCTGCATTTCTACTTTCTTTTTTGTGTTTTTCGATTCAGGAGTGAAGAAAAATCTGTCCTTTTTTCTCCGGAAAATTTATCAAATTTCCCAAATATAAAAACAGAGTCTTGTTGAAAGAAAAAGCAAAGAAAAACAGAGTATTTCCCTTAAATATATAATCTTTTTGGTGAAGAAGGAATAGTTTTTTTATAACAAAAATCTCCAAACCTGTTGATAGACTAAGATAAAAGATCGAATCTTGGAGGTGGCAGATTGAAATTTCCGACTGTGTAAAGAGTTAGAGAAGAGAGAGAGTGACGGATTTTGAGGTTTTTATAGATAGAGAGAGCAAGGAATTGGTTTCTTATCGCATAAATAAGACAAATTTAACACTTTCTCTCACTAAATATGAGAGACAGAGAGAGAAATGGAGCAGAGAAGGGAAGGGAAGGGAAGAGAAGAGTGTTGGGCTAAAGTCTAAACGACAAGACAAGCTTTGTGAGCTGTGGTGTGACCAGTCTTATAGGGCAACCCAATTACAAGATTAGTAGTGCTTTCGTAATCTTCTTCCTTTTGATTTATTTATCTTTAGATTATGCTAATTAACTATTAATTTGTATTTATTTTTGAATAGATGACAAGAGCATGGTGTTGAACTTTTTCATTGACTTGTTGACTTCTTTAACTAATACCATCATAGAGTTGTTTTTGTTTGATGTCATTTTGTCGGGAGGGATTACAAAAAGAGTTTTTATACGAAAATTCCTATATAGAACGGTAGTAGTTTTAATTAGAAGAACTTAGGAGGAGTTAAGAAAATCAATTAAATTTTATCAAAACACGTACATGTAGTTTTAGTTATAAACTCTACGTACTACAAAACTAGAAATTTCAAAGTTGTTGTAAGTATTATGAATTTGTAGAGGAAAAGTAATGTTAAAAAAGATTTGTATAAATCGAGATGGGTAATAACTTTTTCCAACATATTTGGATACGCCTGTCTTCGTGCCAAGATGGTTGTTTGGCTTCATATGTTTAGACAATTTCGATTCTACGTATCTTTTTGTTTTCTTATACTTGTTCTTACTTTACCCCAAAAACAAACACATTTGCCTTTTTCTTTTGATGGCTAAAAGTCCCTCTACTTCTTTTTCTATTTTGTGACATTTATTTATCTGCAGAAATTTGATCATATTTTTTTCTTAAATTTTAGACTCTCATGGTGACGACGACTTTATCTTCCGTTAATAAGAAGAAAACTCAAAATCCATAATAAACCAAAATATTAATTGGTTAGTCCGAAATGTATTTACTGTATGTAGAATCATTTTTACTTGTATACAATCGAGTTCAATTTCTCCCACCGAAAATATCCCGATTTGTTCACGTTTGAAAACGTTCTTATATTTGGTTTTCATCAGTTGGATTCCTAGACTTCGATCGTTGTGTTTAATCCATGTATAGTATTAACATGGATTAACCAACATTTTTGGTCTTTAATGACGATTAACAAGTATGTTCTCATGTTGTTAACTGTTAACACCATTTCTTTACACAAAAACCTCCGTTTAGTTCTCTCTACACATCGATCTCAAAACCTTTTTATTCTCAAATCTTTTTCTTATAAAATAATTCCCATTTATAATTCTTGATTAAAAATACAAAATCAACAAGACGTCAAACATGAGACAACAAAAACAGTTGTTCTCCCGCCCCTTTCCCATGAGTTTTCTCATCCATGCATAAGCCTTACACAGTTACACGTAGTACACCTCACATTCTTTTATGTTATACAATAAAGAAAAATTAAAAGCAATCCAATTAGCAGTAAATCAGACGTGATTAGAATCTAGTATTGTTATAATTAACGTAATAATATAAAAAAAGATTGAAGAAAAGAAAAACCAAATGAGTCCATCATTCACTGCCATGATTTCAAAAACCCACTCTGGCTCAAGAATCAGGAGACAATAGTTAGTTAGCGTTCTTGTGAAGCAAGTATGTGTACTCGATCATGAGAGAGAGAGATCATTATTACACTCTATAAACCGAATCGCAGCCGTTGAATTTTGCATTGTTTTGGAATGAATCAGAACCGTCCGTGTGTCGAGGAAACAGATTAAGGATATTGTCGTAGCGTTAAGCTGCCGTAAGAGCTGACCATTTGGCGTTCGTGTGTTCTGTTTTGCCAACACGTGGGACAAACACTCCACTTCCCTCCTTTATTCCCATCATCGCGTCCTTTCTACGGCTACGATTTGTGGCTGCGCCTTGACGCATGGACGGCTCAGATTCAACGTGTCCCGTTCGAATATTTACCACCAAATCATATTGGAGACTGATTCAGAAGGGTACTACTAAATTTTCGAAATTTTGTCAAGTTACATTATATAAAGAGTTTCGCTTAAAATATCAAAATAAGAAAAATCATTTTTTTTTCATTCTTAAACGTGAATTAACTCGTACCTTTGATTGTGGGTTTTGAAAGGAATTTATCATGAGATATATAATAAAAACAAAATAAGGAAAAATATTGATGAAAGAATAGAGTATTAATGTGCGTTGGAATGTCTTATCTTTTTCAAAAAAAAGACAGAAACTAAAAATAACAAACAGTTTACCAAAAATAACAAACAAACTCAATAAAAACATGTAGATATATATAGAACTAAATTGAATCTTAAAATAGTTCCAAGAATAATTTCAAAATAAACAACTCCCACAACAAGTCATGTGAGATTAAAGAAAAAAAAACTACAATCACGATTTTTCTTCTAATCGGATTCCCTTTTTCTGCTTCTTGTCCAACATTTTTAACTTAACCAAGAACAGAACACAAGTAAAAAAAAAAAAAACCTTCTAAAATAGTCAAAAGATGATACAAAGAGAGAGCATAGAAAGGAGCCAGTTTTTTTTTTTTTTGTAGTTGTGATATGAAGATGCTGATGATGTTGTATGATAAAAGCATCTCTTGATCCTTCAGTTTCACAAAGTAGCCAAGCTTCTTCTCCATTTTGAGTATGTGAGTTGTTTTTTCTTCCTTTTAAGCATAGTACATGTACAAACTGTTGGCAGCAGCGCAAGCTATCGAGTTCTCTGTTGGATGCCATGCGAGATGCAGCAGTTTCGTTGTATGGTCAAAAGAATTACCATTCCCATCGACTCCTGAACTCTCCGCTCCTGTTTCCCAATTTTGTAAAAGTAATCATTCATTTAATTCTCTTCTTAATTCCCTTAAAAGGGCTTATTCTAAAGACCACAGGGATCAAACTCACTGACCTCTTCTAACCGCGCGTGTTATACTGCTTAGTGATGGTCTTGATGTCCTCGCCGGAGTTGTGACTTGTCTTCTATAAGTTTAAACAACATATTCGAATTGATCAATACTTAGACTTTTAACGAAAAATGAGAGAAAAGATTAATGTTGTAGCACCAGTTTTGTTTTACCTCATTGGATTTTTGCTTGCTTCCAAGGTTGTAGTTTCAGTGCTTCCCGGGGAAACGCCAAACACACGGAAGAGATTGCTGGAAACAAAGTTAAATCAAAGGAAAATCTGAGAGGTCAATATAAAAACAATAAAATCATAGAAGACGATTTGAGTTACAAGTATACCTGTAAGAGCCTGTGGCTACTCGCAAACCATCCCCACTTAGACAACACTCGAACTTATCGAAGATGGAATCGTTTTCATATAAATCACAGAGCTGGAGATTGGTCACAAAATAGAGAAGTCACAGTTATGCATCGAGTTTACTTTGACCCAACTCTCTCAAATTAGGAGGAAACTGACCTTTGGTCTTAAATATTCGTGAACCTGGAATGTTGATACTGGACCTGAGTCCATGTTGATGTCCCATAACTGACATGTAAACCATAACCATAAGTTTAGTTTTCCTTATACGTAGTTTGAAACCGCCAAATGCAACTTTATCGATTCAATGAGACATAATGCACAAGGAAAATTCGAGAAAGTATAGACCTTAAGTGTCATATAGTCACGGCTAAGTATATATCTTCCTTCTTTAGCAAATTTGATGTCCGAAATAGAAGCAATTATCTCCGTGAAAAATGATCTAGAAGTTGGTGTCTCTGTGTCCTCAAACCTGCACAAACAAGCAATGTTAGACCTATGTTGTTGCAACAAGTCATAAAACACTGCAAGACATTATTCTTAAAGTAGTTGAAGTAATGCTATCTATTGTGTTGGTAAGAGAGATGTTAACAATCACATTTTAAAAGAGTAATTCAGATAATCATACATATCTGGATTCTCCTTTCTATAAATTGCCTTACTGAGAACCTTAGTTGTTCAACCAATCTCAAGACTTACAATTTGGAATGTGAGTCACATAAAGCTGATTGTCGCAGATCAATCAGACGAATTGAGCCTTTCGAACTGCTATACGCTAAGGTATTGCAATGGGTAGGATGAAATTCGGCTGATGTGATAACCTCTGCAACAACGAATAAAATAAATACTGCAGCTCAGATTAACTCCCCCTTTGAGCTCAAACTTTAACTTAAAAACCAAATCAAACATATTGCTAGAGAGATGACGAAAAGAATGCACTTAAATATATACGACATAAACATATAACTGGAACACAACTTATAGTATCCAAATGACATTTGAGTTCATTAAAAGAACATAAAAGAGAGAGTACAGAGAATCTTTGTTGCACTTCGAAAGAAAAATGCAGCGTACCAGTTAGATCTTCCATATTAGCAGGCTTGACATCAACAATGTTAAAACTTTGATTGCTGATCTCCAGGTTCCAAAGATTTATTCGCAAATCGTCAGCAGAAATAAATGTCTCTCCGTCACTTGAAATTTGGGGAAAGAACATGATCAATGCAAGTAAGAAGAAGGAAAGCAACAATGTGAACCAAGAGAAGAACATGATCAATGCAAGTAAGAAGAAGGAAAGCAACTATGTGAACCAAATGGAGAAATAACCTTACCTATTGTTTGAGATTGAATTGATATGATAATCATGAGCATGAGTGTACACTCTTCGACATCTTGCCACAGGGCTAGTCTCATGGCTAGTAGTTACCTGTAGGTTGTTATTAAACTATTAGTCTACAGTCGAGCAAAATAAATGACTCTGCATAAGAAAACAATAGAATTTTCCTAATCAAAAGAAGAGAAGAAGAACATGGAAAAAAAAAAACACATGAAACTACGACTAAGAAAGTCAAGGTGATTGAATATCCAGAACGAACAAACACTAAATATATGTGAATAATATATTTCAGCTAGGAATTGTACGTTCATGTTGAAGTTCTTATTGAAGCTAAGATCTAGCCAATAAAGAGGGAACAAAAAGTCGTCGAGGGTCAAATACCGCAGGCAATTGCAGCGACGGGATGCCTCCTGGCGGAAATGAGTAGTCGTTACTTGGATAATTGTTTACTTTGTCAGGGAATCCTCCATTAGTGAGGCATGAGTTTGAATTACTTGAGCTTGCACCACTTCCGTTTCCTAGAGATCTCGAAGAATCTGTATTTATGTCACAAATTTTCTTGATCTTTTTCTCTTGAACCTGTTTAAACCCCCCACAAATAAGAAAAGAAAAGAATTGTGTTTAGATACATTCAGCTTAAAACGTAACTGATAAACAAGATCTAAAGAGAACAACATAGGAAAAGACCTAAACACAATGACCTCTCAGATTTATCTAACATATCTATCCATCTGATCAGACTGTTCTAGAGACTGTTAGCGAAAGGAAAAGTTATACTGTCATATCAAATCATTACATCACTCAGAGGCCGACACAAGAGATAAAGGAGTTTCTCACCTTCCAAAACTTGATGGTTTTATCATTTGTTGAGAGGAGAAAAAGAGCACCATTTGCTGTTTGAGACCATCTTATTTTGTTGATTTTCTCCTCAATCTCCAAACTCTTGAGGTAATCAAACTAGAAGACAAGGATCGAGCATGAGAAGCCAAAACAAGGTATAACCTATGTAGTAGCAAGGAACAAGGAACGTGAAAGAAACGTACCTCAGGTTCATGACTTTGAAATTCAGTTTTATAACGAAACTCCGGGTGCCTCAGTGGATAGTCTGTGCCTTCGAGATCTCTTCTTGCTCCACTGGTCTGTAAATAGAAGCAAAACATCACAAACCATAACAATCACATCTCGCAAAAACATAACTTGCAAGACGACAGTGAGAAAGGACATACATTTTTGGAATCTGTTCTCTCGAAAAGAACAACACGTCCCCCACGGTCCCCAGTAGCAAGATGGTCGCCGGATTTATCAAACTCAATCGCTGAGATTATATCAACTGCAGAGGAAACACCAGCTACAGTTTAAGAATTTCAATTCAATTTAGATAAATAAAAAACACCTCTTTACATTACGTGATTACAATGGTAGCTCAATGCAATCTAAGTAATTTCAATTCACTTCAAGAGTAATCATGCAAAAAAGAAGAGCTTAGCCAAAACAATCAGACAAAAACCACTAAACATTTACAAATTTCAATCAAAAAACCAAAACTTTACAATGACCCACATAATCAAAAGCCTAATAGATCTACAGGAGCAGATTAAACCCTAATCTCAAATCGAGCGGATGAGATCCAAAATGGCGAGCTTAAGCAGATGCATGAAAATACCACAAAGCGAATCGATTTGATGCATCATACCTTCTTGAACTTCTTCACCGGCGCTGCGTTCACCGAAGACCTGAGAGAATCTCCAATCCAAAGGCGGAGGTAAGTCCGAAGAAGCTCCGACCTCATCAGCACCGTTCATTTTTGTTCTCCTTGTCTCTCACTCTCTCGCCTATCAGACACTCTCTTCCTCGGATAATCTTTAATAGATTAAAGAAATCAAGCGGGGCGATAATCAAAAACAGAAAGAATCAGATCAGGAATCGCGAGATTTTCATTCGAGCTCGGAGATGGATTTCGTCTTCCTCCTCCCTCCCTATAGAAGAAGCATTCGATCAATCAGTATCAGAAGATTCCCAGATTTCGACAAACAAAAAAAAATCCACATACACTCTCTCTCTCTCATTATTAAAAAAAAAAAAAAAGAGAGAGAGACTTTTTTTTATTAATTGTTCTTTGTGAAAAGGGCGAAATCGGGATTTCGAAAAAAGAAACGACCGAGCAAAAAATGACTCTTACCGTTGGCTTTTCGTTTTTACACGAGTTCGGGGAAGTCTTATGTAAGAGTCACGTGCGGTGACGTGGAGCTCTTTGTCAAAGTTCATGACTATTGGACTGTGTGAAACTGTGAATGGTGTGCCCTTGCTCGTGATGAAAGATTAAATTGTATGATCAAAGAACTAAAGGATTTTATTATTAATATGGTATAAGGAATTAATAAATTTCATGTGTTTTCCCTTACAAAATCATAATAATCTGAAACTAATACATTACATATATCTGTTACAATGCCGTTTCTAATTAACACCGAAAAGTGTAAGATCAAGAATAATGGCAGGTTCTGAAAGTTAACTAAACTTTTTGCAAAGTGTTTTATCAAAAGAGTAATTTATTCCATCTTTGTCTAAAACTAGGTATATACTCGCGCTATACTGCATAATATATTTCTAGATTTTGTATATATTTTTAATATAATAAAATTATTTTTATAATATAAATAGTTACTATATTTATTTTTTTATTAGCTTAAGTTATGTATTTATATGTTTTAAATCTGAATAAACATTATATTTCCTTAATTTTTTTATTTTTGAAAATTATAATCTACTATCAAATTTGTTTAGCTAACTATCTATAAATGTATATGTAAAAATAAAACAATATATTTTTAAGTATCTTTATACTAATGGTAAATGTAATTTGTTATCTCTACTAAATTGCCACTTGATTCTCCTTTGAAATTATATAAAGCAAATTGTCATTTTAAAAAAAACTGAGAAATCACACTTTCTGACAAAACAAAAAAAAATCATTTCACCTATTCCTGCCAAAACCAAAAACATTCATTTTCTCGTCAAACTTGAAATTTCATTTTCACACCAAAACAAAGAAATTGCATTTTCCTGCAAAAACAAAAAAATCACATTTTCCTGCGGGAACCTGTGTTTTCCCATTAAAACAGAGAAATCAAGTTTTTTCACCAAGACCATAAAATCATTTTCCCATAAAAACCGAGAAATCGTCAATTCCCGCCAAAAAAAAAAAATCATCAAACTAAATATCAGACCTTCCTACCAAAACTGATAAACTACAATTTTCCACGAAAACCAAAAATTGCATTATCTCATGAGAAATTTTGTTTTCCACGAAAACTAAGAAATCGCCTTTTACTGCAAAAACCAAAAAATCACATTATATGTCAAAAAATCAAAAATTTGTATTTTCCATCAAAACCGAGAAATTGCTTATATGTTTTCCTAGCAAAATTGAAAATCACATTTTCCTACCGAAACCAAAGAATTCCCTATTCCCGCTAAACCCATGAAAATTTGTTCAGAGTAACCACTAGAAATGCGAATCTCCAAGTTATGGTGATCTGAGCTTCTCTTCATTTGCTTTCGATTTCCATTTTTTGTAAACTTTTGGGCTTTTAAATGGGTCTGCAAAATAGTAAACTGATTTTATTAGTGTGTGAATGATATGTATTATTATTATGTTTTTATTGGTTCAAATTTTTGCTGATGTGTGAGCTTTTTATAACATAAGGTTTTTTGCGTTGTTGTTATGGAAACATAGTTGATGATGAGCCTACACTTTTTCAATCATATATGTCTCTCTCGAAAAAACAAATAGCTAAAAAAATTTATTTATTTGCTGTTAATTATTATTTGAGTTTGGGTTTGGTAAAAAATAAAACAAATATTTAATTTTTTTTATTTGCTGTTATTTATTATCTGAGCTTGGATTTGATAAAAAATAAAACAAATATTTTTTATTTGATGTTGTTTATTATTTGGGCTTTGATTTTTTTTAAAATAAAAAAATTATTAACAAAAAATGCATTTGGGTTTTTAATGGGTTTAAATTTTAAAATTAAAATAAGTAGATGATATGTATTAATGTTTTAATTTGATTGGTTTGTAAAATAGCTGAGGTGTCAGCTTCTCAAAGATTCAAAAAATCTGATGTGTCAACTTATGGAGAGACTTGTTATTGTTGTATTGATTCCATTAGGCATTTCGATTATTTTATTTTTTACCAAATCCAAACATAAATAATAAAAAAAAAAATTAAATCATTGTTTTCTTTTTTTCTAAAAACAAATTCAAATAATAAATAACAACAAATAAATAATAAAAAATTCTAGCTATCTGTTTGTTTGACATAAACATATATGATTGAAAAAAAGTTTAGGCTCAGCATCAACTATACTTTCATGATAATAACGAAAAAAGTCTTATGTTATAAGAATCTCAAACATCAGCAAAAATTTGAACCGATAAAAACATAACAATTTCTTAGTTTTCGCGGGAAAACACAATTTCACGGGAGATAATGCAATTTTTGGTTTTTACGGAAAATTGTAGTTTATTTGTTTTTATAGGAAAGCGTGATTCTGACCTTGACTAGAAAATGATTTTTTTTTGGCATGAATAGACGATTTCTCAGTTTTCGCAGAAATTTTTTTTTTCGTTTTTGGCGGGAAAGTACAATTTTTTTTTTGTTTTTGCAGGAAGATGAATTTTTTTGGTTTTTGTGAAAAAACGTAATTTCTCAGCTTTCGTGGAAAAACACAAGTTCTCGCGGGAAAATGAAATTTTAGGTTTTAGGTTTGACGAGAAAATGAATTTGATTTTGGCGGGAATATGCGATTTCTTAGTTTAATGGGAAAATGAAGTTTTTTTGTTTGGACGGGAAAAGTGATTTCTCGATTTTTGTAAGAAAATGAAACTTCACTGTGCTAAATTCCCAAGTTAGAGTATGTTTACAATAACCAAAATTTAATTATTTAACTTTAACTATAATGATATTTTAAGAGTTCATATATAATTTTCTATTTAGTTCTAAAGCAATAGCAATGGTTTTGATATGAATTTTATTGATTTTAGTTTGGTGGTTTTAGAAACACATGTTTATAATAAAATATTTGATAAATAAATAAATTTTATAATCTAAAGTAATCATATTAATTAATAAAAAATGACATTTTGCTTTATATAATTACAAAGGAGGATCAAATGGCAATTTATTGGAGAAAATATATTACATTTTTCATTAGCATGATAGTACTAAAAATGTATTGCTTTATTCTTATATGTTTTATTCCTAACTAAATTTAATAGCAAATTATAATTTTAAAAATAAAAAATATATAATGTTTATTCATATTTAAAACATATAAATACATATATTAAGCTAATAAACAAATAAATATAATACTTATTTACATTATAAAAGTAATTTTATTATATTAAAAATATATACAAAATATATAAAAAAATTTCTAGATTTTGTATAAATTGTATTATGATAAAATTATTTTTATAATATAAATGAGTATTATATTTATTTTTTATTAGCTTAAGTTATGTATTTATATGTTTTAAATCTGAATAAACATTATATATCTTTTATTTTTTTATTTTTCAAAATTATAATCTACTATCAAATTTGTTTAGCTAACTATCAATAAATATATATGTAAGAATAAAACAATATATTTTTAAGTACATTTATACTAATGGCAAATTTACAATATTTTCTCTACTAAATTGCCACTTGATTTTCTTTTGAAATTATATAAAATAAAATAATAGTTGTTAATTTTGCTGATGTGTCAATTTTTGGTAATTTGAAAAAACTGAGTTATCAAGCTATGGAGAGACTTTAATGTTATTGGTGTGTTGATTACATTAGGCATTTCGATTATCCGTCCAATTAAAGGTCCACCAGTGCTCATAGCCCATGCATTTTAAAGAGCCCATAACATTTCCATAGCCCATGTTTAGTGATGAGAAATAAAAAACTTCAACACATTACGTACATTAATCCCGCCAGAAAACCAATCAAACCACTCATACTTAATTACCATACCAGTTTCTTGTCTGACCAAAATGTCTAGATGACCGGTTACCATCATAACCGGATCTAGCACTGCCGTCGTAACCTTATTGCAAGATATATTTTCCTCAAGTGAATGAACTAATTTGGGGCTACAAAGCAACAGATATATAGTAGCCAGAGTGTTGATCTTTTTGCCTTGATGAAGTAGTGGCCAATCAGTAAAAAATTTTTATCGAAGGTTTATTAACCACAGATAAATCAATATTCGTTTTTAATAACTTTTTAAGTATGGATTAGACCACTGACCAAATATATTTTTGTTGTGAATTAGTCATATTTTTAGAAGTGGCTAAGTTAATATATATTTAGCTACAGTAATTGCTACCCATAACAGTGCAATCGCAGTTTAGCCACTATCTCTACTAATCTATGGCAAAAATTGTAGCCATGACCACAAATTTTGGTGGTTGGCATAGCGGGACCAGTTTACGTTATGGCAGTTATTTGGTAATACAGTTGAAAGTGGGTTTTTACAGAAATACATATGAAACAAATATTGAATCAGAAGTTTTATTTGAATGTTTCATTTATACATAGAAATTAGTTTTTTTAATGTATCATTTATACACAAAAAATACAGTGTGGGGAAATGACTGATTATTATAGAGTTTGAAAAATAGCTCTTGTAAATAAATTTTTGTTACAGTTTTGATCAATAAATTTGATATTTTATCCCAAAAAAATAGCTTTTTAATTTTATCAGGAAAAACAATTTTAGTTAATTAACTCACATAATATTATATTTTTGTTTCAAGTGATGTGAGGCGGTGAAAGCTTTAATTAGAAATCAAGTGGCAAAGGTCTTGATTTGTATATATAGTTTTGAAGTTGAGCAGTCAAATAAATTCACATATATTCACGATTATAAATACCAGTTTGGATGGCGAATATTAAATGTATATAATTTTTAAACATCTAGTTGATTCGGTTAAAGTAGCTTTTGTAATTTTTTGAAATAAATACTTTTAGACAGAGTAAAACCAACAATTTTTAGAGTTTTTTTTGTTGCTAAAAGGTTAAATTTCTGTAAAGTATCAAATTATTTTTCAAAAAATATATAGT